CAGGCAAAAGATCCATCTGATGACAGGAAATAGCAGTAGCCTGTGGAAAAGCATACCATTAGCTTGAAAACACAGGGCAAGCTGGCTTTCTTTAGGCAGGTTTGTATTTTTCTGGCCCTTAACTCAATGCCTTATTTTCATATCAGATAACTTATGAAGGCGTGAGTAATTTCCTCTGTATTTGGCTTTTAGAAATGGGTTTACTTAGCTTCAAAGACCCCTGTTGGCTTAGTCAACATCACAGATATTTTTCTAAGAATCAACTTAGAATCCCTTGGCAATCAATTAGTCAAATTGGCAAATATCTTGACCTCATGATCTGTTCTATTCTTGTGGCTCCTTAGATATTCTGTGCATATTATAGAGAGTTTTTATGGAACTGAATTTTACTTTAACTGAATAAAGGCATTTTTGTATGACTCAAGAAATAGAGAAACAATATGCATGGTCAGAAAATCTGCTAAAAATTTTCACCCAGAGGAAATCAAGATCTTTCTGATGATCAGGAAAACAGATGGTACTGATTGGCACTTGGATGTGACAACAGAACCTCTCCTGGCACCACAGAGCTTCTTGAATATACCACTATGCAATCTTTGCCAGAACAAATGATTACCTTTTCTTGGCCTCTGCTTTCGTCACATGCTGTCCTTCAAATATTTGTACTATATGGTTATGCTATCAGAGACAAAGACTGAGGAAAGATATTATATATCCTTGGCTTTAACTGTGGTGAATTGCAGACTCAGCTTTCAGAACTGGAAGAAACTTTCTCAGAGGAAGTTGAGACCAAGAAAGAAAAAGTGACTTGCAGAACTCGGGCTAAAATCTAACCTTGAGACCAGTATCTTTTGGTACAGAGAGTCACAGAGAGAATGAAGATAGGCTTGGTAATATTTTGTTTTATTAAAAATAAAAAATAACTTTGTATGCATATGAAATCAGTATAGGGTTACTGTAGAAAATTCAGGAAATACAGAAGTGTCTAAGAAAAACAAGGTCAAATCAAGATTTTTACCTTACCTTACCTTACCATTTACCATCAAGCTAAATTTCCTTCCAGTCTATTTCTCTACAAGTGTGTGCACATACACACATACATACAGAGTTAGAGTTCTGGGCAAGGAACAGAAATTGACCCAGGTTGGATTTTGAAGATAATGAAATGAAGGAACTATTTATAGATTTAAAGAAAGGAGCCAATAAGGGATGCTGGGATACTTAGGGACTAGCACCAGGGGTTAGGGAAAAGAAAAGTTGTATTGGAACTTGGGGAGGCTAGAGTTGTGGTAGAAGAATCTGCCATCCAAAATTGTAATCACATTGGGCATGAGCAGAGGATTAACCGACTCCTTCCTCTTCAGCATGGCAATTTGAGCTGTTTCTGTGGCAATCTGATGAAAGTTGGAATGTCAACAATGATAGGAGGCAACTTTGCTTATGCTAAAAATGACCTCTGGATTGGAAGAATTGTAGAGACCTGTAGGGGGAGCCATACTTTGGGCTTCCCTAAATGCAGTGATTCTTGTGGCTGGGAATGTCCCTTGCTGAGACCCAGATAATGTACCTATGGAGTCATTTCAACAGATGAGGCTTCTATTGGATATGAAACAATTAAGCCAGGGTAGCTTCCTTGCCCCTTGTACCTATATTGTTATGATGTGGACTGCAGCAAAAACTCCCATTGACCAGGGATACTTGACACTGTGTTTCCTGTTCTATAGTCTTCTGAGTTGGGGCTTCCCAGATAGCTCAGTGTAAAGGATATGGCCGCCAATGCAGGAGATGCTGGAGACGTGGATTCAATTCCTGGGTTGGAAAGATTCCCTGAAGGAGCAAATGGCCACCTACTCCAGTATTCTTGCCTGGAGAATCTCATGGACAGAGGAGCCTGGTGGGCTGTAGTCCATAGGGTTGAAAAGAGTTGGACATGACTAAGCAACTGAGCGTGCATGCACTCATCTTTCTGAATTGACTGGCTCCAAGTGTGGCCTTTGTTTGCTCTTGAACATGAATATTCAGTTGAATCCAAGAAAATCCTCTTAATGGGCATGTCAGGGATATATTGCTGCCCAAATCATAGTGGCAAAGCAGGGAGTGGAAGGGGAGAATACCCTAAACTCTTTCTTGCTGCCCTACAACATTCTAACACTCCTTCCCAACATTGACTAAACCTAACCATAAGGCAGAGGTCAGGGAGAAAGAGTGAGTGTCCCAGCTTGCATCAAATGTTCATTATAGTTTATCATTCTGGTCTTAGTAGGCATTTGGCTAAGTGCTAAAGCTGCTCTGAATATTCATGTTCAAAGTTTGAGTCATCATTTTCATTTCTCTTAGATGAAGACACAGGAGTGGAATTGTTGAGTCATAGGATTAGATAAGCATTTAATTTTTTAAGAAATTGTCAAGCAGTTCTTAAAATATTTGTGTCATTATATACTGATACCAACAATGTGTGAGAGTTCGTTTGCTCCATACCTCTCCAATGTTTAATTTTAACAAACTTTTTCATTTGTCCTGTTCTAGTGGCTATGTAGTGACCTCATTGGGACTTTAATTTGCATTTCTCTGATGACTTAATGATGTTGAGGGCTTTTTCATGTGCTTATTTGTCATTTATGTTATCTTTTTTATGAAGTATCTGTTCAAGTCATTTTAAAACTAGATTTTTTTTTTTTAAACTAGATTTTAAAAAAATATTGATTCTTGTTTTTATTGAGTTGTGTGGAATTCCATATATATATTGGATGCAAATCCTGTGTCACATTTATGTGTTACATTTTTCTCTTAGCCTGTGGCTTTTCTTAGTGGTGGCTTTAGATAAGTAAAATTTAAAAATATTGATGAAGTCTGCTTTACAATTTTTTTTTGTTTTTCTTTTTTAGCCTATCCAATGATTTTTAGAAAATCACAGTTGTAGATTTTTAAAAAATGTCCTTTAAAAGATATTTTTTCTATTTAAAAATGAAATCCAGTTTGGGTGTTTTTTAGGTCATTATATTCTATAGACTGAGTATGTACACACCAAATCCATATGTTGAAATCTAATCCCCAGTGTGATTATATTTGGAGAGGAGGCCTTTGGGAGTAATTTGGTCATGGGGTGGAGCCCCCATGAATAGGGTTAGTGCCCTTGTAAAAGAGACCCAAAGAGCTTCTGTGTCCCTTTTATTATGTGAGGACATAACCAGAAGATGGCCATTTAGGAAGTAGGAAGCAGGCCTTCTCTAGATATGAGATCTGCCACCCCTTGATCTTAGACTTCCATACCTCCAGAACTGTCAGAAATACATGTCTGTTGTTTATAAGCCACCCTATCTGTGGTATTCTGTAATAGCAGCTCAAACAGATGGAGACACTGTGTATCTTAACTTCAAAGTGGGTCATAAAATGCTGGATGTGTAGAGCTGCAGGAAGACCTTGGTAACAGCTATTACAAACTCCTCCTTAACATTATGTTTCCTTCTTAAAGATCTTGTCACTTGTAATTTACTCAGTGGATGCTTCTAGAGCTTCCAGAAGCCAGTCCCCTTTGGGGGAAATAAGATGTAAGAGAGTCACTTCTTGAAATTGAGATACTCTTTTAATAGTCTCTTCATTAGAGCTTTATGCTATATGAATTTCATTAAAACACTGGAGTGATCAGAGTTCTGAGAACCAAAATAACAGTCTATTGGCAGTGCTGATCCAGCTTCAGGTTTGTGTTGGGTACAGGGACACGGGGTGGGACCAGTCACGATCCCTGTCTGGGCTGGGACAGTGTAGTAAGTGCAGTGAGGGAACATGTGGCATGACTGGGAAAGAAATTGCCCTTACTGGGTGTGTCAGGAGATATTTTTTAGGGAAATATGTTTGTTCTGAGCTCAGAAAAGTAGGAGTCTCTATGAGGAGTGTCTATGAGGAGTTGGAAGGAAGAGGCATGGAGAGTGGAGAACTAGCAGTGGGCAGTATCCCTGAAGTTTTGAGTCTGAGACCCAAGCAACAAGAGATGAGCCTCAGAGCCATGACGGAGTGAGGACCTCGTCCGTTAAGTCAGTACTTCTCAAAGTTTTGAGCAGTCGTTTCTTCAGGTGTCCCTGGTCCTTATCTGTTGAGTCAGAGTCTCCAGGGTGGAGCCTGAGCCTTTGAATATTTTCACGGGCTCTGGAGGTGACACTGAAGCACACTGGAGTCTGAAAACTACTAGTTCAAGTGATGATGAGAAGGCAGTAAGAAAAAGAGAAAGGCTTTGATGAAAAAGGTATTAAAAAATGATATTAAAAGTGAAATGGTGACCAACTCTATTTAAGGAATGAGAATGTGGTAAGATTCTGCCTAAGGCAACTTAAAAAGTGTCATTTTTGCCTGTTACCTCATGACAATACAGAGTAGGAAACCTGTGGAGGAAATGTAGGAAGTTTAGTTATAGATACAAGACCAGATTTCTGTCAAGAAATATCCATTTTAATTATCTAGAAATAATACTAACTTTGGGAAAATATGGTTCTGTCAATTCAAATACTGCTGATAGTACTGAAGCCTAATGAGATACTTCCTAATGAGATACATAATGTTTATTCTTTTCAAAGGACATATTCAGCCTGTATTTGTTAGTTATTAAGATTTTATGCATGCATGTGATGTACTGTGATGACTTTGGGGCTAGATTTTAAAGTTATTATCCTTTTGCAGATGATGAAATTAAAGCTCAGAGAGGTTCTTTGATTCCCCTAAGGCCATCTCAGTCAGGAACCAGGAAAAGCCAAAGTTCAAAACTCCTGACTTTGAGAAGTCCAATTCTCTTTGCATTGTTGCACAACCGCCTCTTGTTTTATGTACAATTGGACCTTCTCCCCGCCAAATAGGAAGACATTAGAGAATTATTTCCAAGTATTATTTTGACGAGAAGGAATATTGTATGAGAAGCAAAGCCAACCTTCAGGGCTCAGTTACTCTGGAAAAATATGTAATGGTACAGTTTCAGCCTGTGAATGAATTTAATTTTTTTTTTTTTGAATTAGGAACCTGACCTTAATGGTGATGATAGAAAAACAGAAGTAACCCCAGGAGAAAAGGTTCTTCGAAACACCAAAGAACAACGGGATCAGCAGAATAGGTTGAGAGAGATAGATGAAAAGCTAAGAAAGATGAAGGAAAATGTGGTAAATCTTTATTTATTTATTTATTTTTTTNCATGCAGTGAAGTTTTCTTTTAGTCACACAAGTTTCATTCTCTTTGCAGCTGGTGTGGCAATTCTTGCTTTAAAGGAGAACTGAGAAAATGTCTCTATAAGCTCAGTTGAGCTAGGTGATTTCTGTGAGGGTGGAAAAAAAGGATGCTGCTGCCAAAATTAAAACAAAAAAGACATTTGATTACACTGAAGAGAGCCAGAGGGATGGTTTTTGGATGCCAGGAACAAAGAAAGAGGGAAGAAGAGAGGAAGGAGAAAAACAAATGAAGATGTAGCAAACTAGAAAGATGGCAGAAGGCTGTGAATACTCAGTGAACTTACACATGGTCAGAGAGACTGAAGCCATTGATTAAACATTTTTAGGAAAGTTATGATGGAGCTGAATTTCCAATTTCAGTTAATATGAAATAAAACAGAACCTGAGCAAGTAGGAGCATAGTTGAAGATGGAAGTTATTTGTATGGATGTAAAATCTTAGAAATTTGTTAAAAATTCAGGATAAATCTTTAAGTACTCACAATGCTGGGGCCTGGGCAACTGAGTCAATTTCAGGTCCCCCCCTCCAGTATCTGTTCCAGGGAAGCTGACTCTACATTCTCCCTGGAGTATCCATCGTACCACATACACACCTATTTCCTATCCATTATTATGTTGTATTGAGTGTTGTTATCTTTTTCTTAATATACCTTTCTCCCCTACTAGAATGTGAATTCCTAGTTCAGTTCAGTTCAGTTGCTCTGTCATGTCCAAATCTTTGTGACCCCATGTACTGCAGCAGGCCAGGCTTCCCTGTCCATCATGAACTACTGGAGCTTGCTCAAACTCAAGGCCATCCAGTCAATGATGTCATCCAACCATCTTGTCCTCAGTTATCCCCTTCTCCTCCTGCCTTCAATCTTTCCCAGCACCAGAGTCTTTTCCACTAACTCAGTTCTTTGCATCAGGTGGTCAAAGTTTTGGAGTTTTAGCTTTAGCATCAGTCCCTCAATGAATATTCAGGACCAATTTCCTTTAGGATTGACAGGTTTGATCTCCTTGCAGTCCAAGGGACTATCAAGAGTCTTATCCAACACGATAGTTCAAAACCATCAATTCTTTGGTGTTCAACTTTCTTTATAGTCCAACTCTCACATCCATACATGACTACTGGAAAAACCATAGTTTTGACTAGATGGACCTTTATTGACAAAGTAATGTCTCTGCTTTTTAATATTCTGTCTAGGATTGTCATAACTTTTCTTCCAAGGAGCAAGCGTCTTTTAATTTCATGGCTGCAGTCACCATCTCCAGTGATTTTGGAGCCCCCAAAATAAAGTCTGTCACTGTTTCCATTGTTTCCCCGTCTATTTGCTACGAAGTGATGGGACTGATGCATGATCTTAGTTAATATTAATACTCACTAATATTGTTCCATCTTGAGCCTATTTCATTTTTTAATTACTTGCCATTTAAAGATGCATTTTTGCTGATGAGAGAAAACTCTTAAATCAACTTAATTTTAAGACTGTTAGAAATGCTGGTGTAACATTGTGATTTTTCCAGCCACCCATTGGATGTTTCTGAATTTTGGCTTCATGTTTAATTTTGGTTTTTAACCTAAAATGAAGCATGGCAAGGCTGAACTTATGATTCTACCTACATCCGCTCCCAGGGCTGGTCAATCATAACTGTCAGCAGTATTTACTTTCTGCTTCCTACTAAATCCTCCTATCTTGAGTGAATTTCAGGCCTCTTTAAGTGTTAATCAGTAGTTCTATTTGTGGCTCTGTCTTACCACTGTTCCTTTTGAGTTTTTTGAAAATCTTTTCTTTTTTGTCTCTACTTGTATCATCCTTCTCTCAGCATCGTTACCTCCTGTCTAACCTCTTATAATCTTATCACTTTCTTCTCTCAGTATTCCATTTCAAAAGCTGTTCCATGAGAGTAAGTATCAGGTAAGTGACTTTGATTAGCTTCTGATCTCCTCAGAGCTCTTCAAGACTATCCCCCAATCCTAATCAAGTTTCTTCACCCCTCACGGTCATGTCCAGCTGAACTGCTCTTCCTATTTGCCAGCCGTGGACAGCAGCACTGGCTCAGACTTAAAAAGGGTATCTAGATCTACCTAATACCAGTCAGGCAACTGCATGTGGTTCTCTTTGTCATTCATTATTTGTTTACTTTTCATCGAAAGTTTAATGGAATTATGTTTCAGGGAAACTTCTGTTCTTGTTTTCTGAGGGATGTTTTTTCTCCTTGAGTCTGTTAGTGCGGGTAAGAAGTAGAAGAAGTAGGAATGTTTAGGAAGTACAAAGGTGTTGGCTAGTAGTTGTGGTGGTGGTGATTGGCATTGCAAACTTTGAAGTGGTAAATAAAATGTTTGTGATTTGACTGGTTTTAAGAACAAAGGTGTTGTTGGCCAGTAACTGTGGTGGTGGTGATTGGTATTGCACACTTTGTTGTGGTAAATAAAATGTTTGTAATTTGGTTTTAAGAACAGTTGGCACTTCTCACCCCACACATGCCGATTCAAGGCAGGCAAAGCCTGTGATTATCCATGATTCAGTTCTCCTGATTTCTGACCATTTGTCTTATGCCTTGGACATGTACCCATCCTTTTATCCCATGTCTCTTATCATTATTTAGTTTTTGACTCAAAACCTGGGTCCTTTAGAAAACGTTACATTTCATTCCAGTGTCATATGGTGGTTGGCTAGACTTAAAAGAAATATGATAGATATCAAGAGTTGCTTGATTATCTAAGTGGAAAAGAATAAAAAGTAAGTAGAGAAGGGCAAAAAAATGAATAGAGAAAAGCAATTATTGTGTTCCTACTACATGCCAGGCACTGTTCCATATATTGACTTACCTTCATAACCACAGTGTGAGGTAAACACTACTATCCTCATTTTATGGATGAGGAGATGTCAGCATGGAGAGGTTGAGTACCTCCTCAAGGTCATATTGCTGGTAAAAAGAAGAGATAGGAATTAAGTGGTTAGCTTCTAACAACCGTGCTACACTGCCTGTATGGCACTTATTTGCATTTCTTTTCTGATTAGCATTAGTTTTTGTTAAGTAAAATGTGCAAATTTATTATATTTACTAGCATTCATGGGCAAAAAAATTAGAAGCTCTTATGTAAATGGTAATTTCATGGTTTTCTGTTTTATGGTCAACACGTTCAGAAACTGATATCTGGCAGGTGAGGGCCCATGAGTGTTGGTCTGTACTGGCTTTGTGTTTTAATTGCTTAGTGTCTCATAACGTCCTATGAAGCAGACTGTGTGCTTCTGAGGGGTGATCTTGTGTCTGTTTCAAACTCTGTGAAGTCTGTTGTACCTCACAGACTTCTAGGTACTTTGTGGTTTGGGAAGCTGGAAACTGGAGTCTTTGTTTGTGTTGTCAGTAGCCTGGTCTTTTGCTTTGAATAAGTCACTTAGTCTCTTAGAGACTTAGTTTTATTACTTTAAAATCAAGGGAGTGGGGCTAGCTGGCCTTTGTCCTTTTGCCTGTCATTCTTGGCATATTTATTTTTAATGTGAAATGGTGTTACTTATAGTATCTAAAGCTCAGTTTGTGTGCTTCCTAACTAGTTGGTATTAATGGGTTTAAATCTTCTATTGAAAATTCTTTTGGAAATTAAGTGACTCTTTTTAGGAGAATGTGCCGTTGTCATTTATGTATATGCTATGCTGAGCTGTGCTTAGTTGCTCAGTCATGTCTGACTCTTTATGGCCTCGTGGACTGTAGCCCGCCAGGCTCCTCTGTCCATTGGGATTCTCCAGGTAAGAATACTGGAGTGGGTTGCCATGCCCTCCTTCAGGGGATCTTTCCAACCCAGGAATCAAACCCAGGTCTCCCACACTGCAGGCAGATTCTTTACCATCTGAGCCACCATATGTTAGCCTCTTACCTAAAGACAAGAGACTCTTGTTTTCTAAATGATAGTTTCTGTAAAGGATTAATTGTGCAGTTTGTCTTATTGTCTCTGTTGCAATGGAACATTGTTGCAAAATCAGTGATTTATGTAAAAGAAGTTATCTGTAGCCATTGAACAGGTAATTAAAGGATCTAATCTACAGCACTCTTAGGGATAGAAAGAGGAAAGACTGAGCTGAAGGGCAATGTCGGAGCCCTGTAGGGGCACTCCTGGAGCCACCTGGATCCCAGGACCGATTATCAGTGAAGGCTGGAAAAGTGATTTAATCCAATGTGTCTGACAGTAGCCTGAGGCTGCAGATGCACATTTGCCTTATTAGTCAAGATTGTTTGAGGTAGTAGGATTTAATTTAATCAAGAGGTGGTGGTGATATTGGTAGCAGTGGATCTAGCTCTTAGGAGCTAGGGGAAGAAGATACGATGAAATGAGGGTGAGGCTCACAAGTGTAATATGAAATTCAGTGGGCGTACAAGGGCCTGAGCACCAGCTCTGTAAATAGAGGAAGAATAAGCCATGGCTGCTAGAAGATAAAACAGATCTTTAGGGTTTACTTAGTATAGGTTAGCAGTATAATGTTGCTTCTGTGCTACACATCAAAGAAGGGGTAAGCAAAATGGATCACATTTGGATAGTAGAGTGACAGAGATAAGGAAGATATTAAAACCAGGTCATATGAAGGATTGTTGAAGAGGCTGGGTGTATTTATTTAGCCTGGTGAAGGAAAGACATGCGTGTGTGTGTGTGTGTGTGTGTGTATTCATGTGTGTGTGTATGTATGCATGTGTGTATGTGGTGGGAAGGAGGGGAGGAATGGTCTGGTAGAAAAGTCACACATGATTACTCCCTAAAGAGATTTGAAGGACTGACATTAGAAGTATTAGTTTTCTTCTCTGTAGTGTAGGAAAAGGAAAACATGGTGGTTGGGAAGCCATAATGCCACAGATCGCTAGTAAATACTAGGGAAGAAAGTCAGGATGATCTCAGTGGGAGTGGTCTGTCTGGGCCAAGGTTTTCAAATTAGGCTTGGGTAACACTAGCTGGGTTTAGT